AGATAACGCGCCAAAGAGCAGTAAGCCGCTTCTCGTACGAGAATCCTACGCGTGCCTCTCCTAGCGAAAATCCTATAGGTGAACCTTTTCTGTACCTGTTCTACTCTATCAATTAGATATGCTTTATATGGTGACCACAGTTGAGAACAGTATTCAAGCATGGGTCTTACGTAAATCGTGACATAAAAGCAGCTTAGGGTCACGCGAGTGAAAGGCACGCAAGATGTAATTAGATCTGATGATGATCTGATGATTGCTTCGGTAACAATATCAGTAATAAAACGCTCAAAATCGAGACTTGCATCATAACTGACTCCGAAGGTCACGAATATAATCAGAATAACTGAGAGGAGAGCCGTTCAAACTAAAAACGACGTCTGGGTGGTTTGTCCCTAACACATCACCGTAGTTTTCTCCTCAGAGATCTCAAGTTCCCACCTGGCAGCCCAACTGGCCAAGGCATCGATTCCATCTTGCAATAGGCCCGCATTGTTTATAGTAAAAATTTTAGAATCGTCATCATACAGGGAAATGCGAACGCCTGGAGGGAAAACCATGGGGAGATCGTTAACATAAATCAGGAACATAAGCGGCCCAATGCAACTACCCTGTGGAACTCCACTAGAAGTAGGGTATAAATAGGAACGTTCTTCATTTATGACTACCGACTGCGTTCTATTGCTCAAAAACGAGCTAATGAAACGGAGAAGGCAGCCAGTTAAGCCTACGCCTTCTAACTTTTTGAGAAGCAGCGAGACAGGGATGGAATCAAATGCTTTCTTGAAATCGACAAAGCAGACGGACACGTAAGATCCACGATCCAACTCCCTATGCCATCGCGGAAGGGTTGAAAGCAGGGCAGTTGTCGTAGAACGTTTGCTGAGGAACCCGTGCTGCGCAGAGGTTTAGAATATTATTTCCAAGCAGAAACGAAAGAATACTAGAACAAATAATTCTTTCCATAACTTTACAGACACAAGAAGTAAGACAAATAGGTCGATAGTTGTGTACCACGTTGCGGGGACCTTTTTTGTGGACCGGTTTAACTAACCCCGTTTTCCAAATATCAGGACAATCACCTAACAGCAAGAACTTGTTAAAGAGGAGCGTGAGTGGTTTAGCCAGGCCCAGAGCAGCACGTTTGAGAAACACATAAGGAATATTATCGGGAGACGTGGAATATCTGTTGGGGAGCTTTGACAACAACCTGTAAACTGACTCAGTGGAGAAATCCACCCAGCTTAAAGTATGGGGGGAAGTGAGGTGGGATACGTAGTGTTTCGATTCTCTATAAGGCCCAGAAATACTCAGCAAACGCTACGACTTTCTCACAGTCTAAACGAGCAGTAGGTATTTCCATCGAGAATAAGCTCAGGGATTTCATCAGACAAGTTGAGTTTACTATTGCAATATCTGAAAAAGCGATGAAGGTTTCTCCGCTTGGCAAGTTTTTCTTCCTCAGTAATGGCTAAACGAGTGATCAAACGCTTAAGCTTCTGAGCGTATTTAGCATAAATACGAAAACCATAACGATCACATTGGCGTAGATGCGGTTCACTTTAGCCCTTAAGCGAAGTAATTTTCTTGGGTATGTATACGGGTGAAGTTTTAGCCTTGGAGCATGGCACGTACTGCGAAATGAGCGAGTGACAGATGGAAACAAACAAGGAGTAAGCATCATTTGGAGCAATAAGTGGCACCCAGTCAATCTCTAATAGGCCCCTGTTATGCTGACAAAATCACCTCTAGGGAAATTAGGGCGGAGAGTATTCTTCAAGAGCTGACAAGAAATCGGTTGAGACAAAAGTACGCTAACACTGCGATGGTCAGATGTGCTGAAGGGAGGCATTACTTCGACACATCTAACCATTTCGGGATCCGAAGTCAACACAATATCAAGTATGTTTAGTCCAAGGGTGGGCTCCATGACCAGTTGCTTGAGGTTGAAAGACACGCAAAGGTCAATAAGGGCAGTCGAAGAGGGGGAACTTAAATTACCCCGATGACTAAGTGAGGTCCAGTCAATCAGTGGAAAATTCAAGTCGCCCATAATAATGATTTTGCTAGGACAATCGAGAATAAGGTCAGAAAGAAATGTAATTAACTCCCAAAAAGCGTCAAACCTACAGGAGGGGCTTCTGTAAATCGTAGCAATAATAACTACATGACAACTAATGGTGACCTCCATAATGATTACTTGACAATACTCAGAGAAATTTTTGGATACATACAGACGGTGGAGGATATCTTTCCGTAGAGCCACAATGACACCTCCTCCCTGTCTGTCACCATCCCTATTACAACGAAACACATTTTGCTTACCTTGACCACTTAACGTAGCGTCACTAATCATATGAGGCTTGCACCAGCTCTCCGTAATGAAAACACCATAAGGATTTTGCATTCAATAACATATCGAATTCAGGGATTTTTTAACGATAGAGCGGGCATTAAAAAGGAGGAGTCTATTGAACAAAGATGACTTGGCATAGCGAAAATCTTGAGAAGGTGCGAGCGAGGAACCCTCCCCGCCCTCCCTTTTATCCTAGCGAGATGAATCAACTTTTGAAGCCATGATCGATCCCCCCTTAGGCTGAATGGCCGGCTCGAGCATGGCATAACCCGGGTAGATTTATCGATCGACTCTAAACTAGGACCCATGATTGGTTCGCGGCAAACGTCAGCGCGCGAAGGGACCATGGGTGACGTAATAGGCGATCGATCAGCGTCGGGAGAGGGGGTAGGGACTACCTCGATGGAGCTGGAGCGACTAATGGAGCGCGGGAGATCGCGGGGAGTTTTAAGCTTATGAATAGCAAGATCGCGCACAACATAAGAAAGTTTACCCGCGTTCGCATTGAGCAGCCCTGCTCTCTTTCTGAGCTGCCTGTCGTAATCCAATTCCTCTTTAGTATAGTCTCGTCTTGCATAAGAATGATGAAATGTTTGCGTAAGTGAGAGTCGCCCTTTTTCATAAAGGCCAAGAGACGGTCCCTGAGCTCTTGCGAGGGGAGGTTAATCTTGAATTATTCTCGGTTTCCTCAAGGCGGCACTACGATTATGTGGGAACCGCGCGATTTTGATATTACCTGCTTTCCATTGGCTCATTAGCTCGTTATCGCAAGCGGCATCAATGATCTCTTTAATCGCTTCCCTATCAAAATCAGATGTGGATCTATCATCAACCATGCTCCTCGATGCCTACCCAGACAATATTACACTGCTTACTGGAGATGTTTTTGGAATCGGAATGAAACTTACGTGGTATAAAGATCACTATTAGCCTGCGCTGCACTCATTTGATCAAATAAACGGTTTTCAATCGCATCAATTTTCCTCACAATGGCCCTGTGCGACTGTTGCATGGAAACTAATAAATCGAACATACGGTCAAACCTGGCAAAGTAATCATCCCATCGTTTAAGTACAGATTTCAGCCAGAGGGGAATGACAGCATCCTTGCAGTTGTTGCATCCATTGCTTTTCTTAGGTGGCATTGGGGACGGGGGCCCGCTTTATAACAGTTTTGCCAGGCTTTCTCGACACTGCTCGTGAGAGGCTTGTTAAATCAGATTAAGTGCTCAGATACCGAAAAAGCTATTGAAAAAAGGACTGAGTGGCTAGGGTCGTCGTTAAGACGCAATGGTGTAGAATGTGCATTTTTAACGTTGGTAAAGCACTGAAAGAGCATAGAACTGTGAAGCGTCTAATTCCTCAAGGGAAAAGTTCACAAAATCAGCAAATCGTGCTGACCACTGTTAATCCTATAAGTGGTCTATGCTGTGCACACATTCGGACAGAATACTAAATGGTTTCACCTTTTCAAAGGAAAAAGCATCAAGTTAAGTGGATCATGTTTATTTGCTTTTTATTGAATTGTGGTACATCACAGAGCATTCCTCTTTTTGTTACCTGAACGCGATTTTTCATTACAAGCATAAAATCACCACTACTTCCATCACTTGACAAATGTAATTATAAATGCGATTTTGTGGAAAGAGAGGAGCTAAAACTTTTGTGCAATAGTATGTTGTAATTCATACCTTACAAACATCCTGTGTTGTTCCTTCACCGTCCGATTTGCAGTTTGCATGAGGTATTCTTCATCTCAGTTATCTTCGGGCACTTGCTGAGGGCGTCCACAACCAGCATGTGGTGGCGTCCACAGAAAGTTTCAATGAAATCTATATCTTTCTTATGAAATCTATATCTTTCTTTCCGATCTTTAGGCGGTTGGGAATTTTCTTTAACCATTCTTTCACATCTGCTTCCATCGTTTCCATGTGGAACATAAACTTCTCATTTGTTCGTACTCATTCTTCACTACTGACACCTTTCATGTAATCTTCATTTAAGCTTTCCATATATCTTCATGGTCTTCCCGCTAGCATGTTTTCACGGTTCTATTGGTCCTTTCCAACGCTGGAGAGCCTATCTCCTTTCAGATCTTCCAGTTAGTAAAGTGAAACGTGATCCTGCATCGAGAATTAGACTGCGTAGCTGTTCACTACACCATCGATGTGCACGCGGGAGGAGTTTGCTTGAACTGCTGCGTTTGCAACCATGACGATTAGTACTTGTTTTCTGGGGCCTCTGCTGTCTCTGTTCCTTGAGGGCTTTTCTTTAGTATGCTGAGTTTCTGCATTGCTTCTTTGCGACCATCAGCATTCTTATGTCGTGAACCGCGAACTTTTCATTATGACCGACCTTCTTGCACTTTTTGCAGAACCAAGGTTTTGCTTGACATCCACTCGCACGACGGTTTCCTTCGCAGCTCTAACATTCTATTTTCTTCTGCTTCTGCACGGATTCCACTAATTTCATAGTTCAGGCATGACTTTACTGCTCTCTTGGGACGTAAGAAATTTTCGCATTCCTGGTGCAGTTTTGCGCTGACACTGTTTTGCCTATTTTATAGTCTCTATCCAGTATTGTGATCAGCTTCTGCCTAATTTCTGTCTCAAGCTGTGATTTCGATTTGAAAATCCACAGTAAACATTTGATGCCGCCTGAGTCTCACTCGTGAACTGCTTGAGACATTGGAATCTCGCGATAAACAGTAACGACTTGAAATAGAACAACTGCTTGCATATGTCCACTGCATCGGTGAAACCAATTTCTGACACATTTCTTGGCAAAGTGTGCCTCTGCACTTTTCAACTTCGGTTTGATAACTGCTGTTTAACGCGCTCCGAAAGTTATTAAAAGAACGCTGAGATATTGCTATATGTTGGGTTGGCGGGAAAGTTTTGTCATACTTTTTTGAACCCAAGTATTTGCCTATTACCTGAAGAGGGTTAACCGGTAATGTGAGCAGTTATACATCAAGGATTGGTCTTTCTATTGGTATCACTGGCTCGACTCCTGCTTCTCCTTATTCTGCAATATGGACAAGAATGTTATCCGCTACCTTCGGCACGACCCCTTCAAGCGCTTCCTTAAACTATTTCTTCTACCACCCTGGCGCCAGCTGTCGACGCCGAAATAATGGAGCTGCACAAGGACAATGTCTACAGTCATCAGACAATCTTCCACGACGCTAGCTCTTCAGAGCGGGAGCCTACGGTTCGAATGACGAAGTGAGGTTCGGGAGTACCTGTAAACTCAGCTCTAGATAGCGGTGGGTCGGGAAACTACTGGATGAAGAAGCTGCCTCCTCGGTCGATGCGTACGCAAAGCAGCTACGAGATCTGAAGCGAACCGTCAAGCAGAGGGAAAAAATTCGCCGGCACAGTCCGTCTTCAACGTGCTGGTGTGGCCCACTCCGTCCAAAAAAGTTCGAGCCGAAGCCATGCTATAGAGCTGGACGGCTCTACCCTTGCACCGGTGTATAGTCCAGACATTGCTCTTTCTGACTGCTAGTCGCCTCCCGTATTCAACCGTTATACAGCCGAGAAAACCTCCACGACTTGAGCCCAAGTCAAAGTTGAGATGATGTCCAACTTTGCGTCGCGCCTTCCTATTGTGAAGCGATGGCATCCACGAAGTGCCCAAAAACTGGCAAGGCTCTCAATAACATTGCTGTATAATTTTGATCTTGTACTCCTCTCTGTAAAAAGAAAGTCTAATTTGAAAAAATGTGACAGAACTTTCCCGCCAACCTAATACATTGAGAATGCTAAGTGTCGTAAGGCTATGGCACAAAGTGCCACTGAGCTGGGAAGGCAAGGTGGTCCCGGTAGCGTAATGGATAACGCAACCGCCCGGTAAGCGGGAGATGTGGATTCGAGTACCGCCCGCCTGGGATCCGACTTTCCCAGTATCTCAGCATTCTTGTGATAAGCTTCAAGTTGACGCGGGACGAGTTTGACGCGATGCTAAACCTAGCTCTCCACCGGTTCTTAAAGCAAGCAAGTGATATGATTGTACCATATCACTTACTTGCTACTTGTTCGTATTACTCGTTTTCTTTCACTTTTTGTCGCATGCGCGCTTCAACAAGAAAGGCTTTGACGGCGTGACACACTCATACTGCCTGACACGCCCAACCGTCCGCAGCGACCTATAGTATAGTTATGATGGTGATCGAAACCATTCCTCAAGTGCAGATATGGCTGTCCGGTGAGGTGCGTAGCTTTAAGC